GAAAGATGTCCATTGTCCATGTAAAACTGGGACTGCGTACTCACCGTTAAATAGCGCCTTGGTCATCTTAGCGTGTGAAAGACGAACAGACAACATCGAATTTCTTCCCGAACTAATCTGTGTCTGATTTCAGTAACTCTTAAATTTTTCTTAACATCCATTTCAAAAGAAATTCTATTTCCCTCAAATAAAATGACAAGTAAAAGACGTTTACAACTGAAGCTGGTTTTAAAGTTTAATAATAAACAATAAGTACATTCTCAAAATATAATTGTTACGTTACATTGCTTCTTTCAAGCCAGTTATGTTTATCGTTTCTGCTCAGATATGGCGTAAAAATCGATGTGTGGTCTGCAGGGGTCATAACTTACATTCTTCTTTGCGGATTCCCTCCCTTCTCAAGGTAAGATCCTCAAAAACTGAGTGCTTGGTAACAAGGGCCGGGTTGAACCATAGGCATGGCTCTTTATTCAATGATAACGCACGTCTAATATCTCCTGTCCTAATGGTTACCGTACCAATCACACTAACGGTGACACCTGTCTAATATCTCCAGTCCTAATTGTTACAGTCCTAGTGCCACTCAAGATGACAGCTGTCTAATATCTTCTGTCCTCATTGTTTCAGTCCCAGTGACAATCAAGATGAGTTGTTTGATATGATCATGACAGGGAACTACGACTTTGTCAGTCCGTATTGGGATGACGTCACAACGTCTGCCAAGGTAACTAGCTTGTTTTTTTTTTTTTGTTTTTTTTTTTTTTTGTTGTTTTTGTTTTTTTGTGGGGTGGGGGGGGGGGTTTTTTTTTTTTTTTTTTTTTTTTTTTTTTTTTTTTTTTTTTTTTTTTTTTTTTTTTTTTGTGTTTTTTTTTTTTTTTTTTTTTTTTTTTTTTTTTTTTTTTTTTTTTTTTTTTTGTGGTACGAGAAACGTTATGTTAATGTTATTTAAGCAGGGTCACCAATGAGGTATTTCATCCGATACTAGTTATAGAAAATCCCCGATGGAAACGGCCCAAATGATGATATTTTAAACGATTTTTTAAAGCAAAATATAATGCTATTTTTTTTTTTTTTTTTTGTTTTTTTGTTTTTTTTTTTTTTTTTTTTTTTTTTTTTTTTTTTTTTTTTTTTTTTTTTTTTTTTTGTGGTACGAGAATCGTTATGTTAATGTTATTTAAGCAGGGTCACCAATGAGGTATTTCATCCGATACTAGTTATAGAAAAACCCCGATGGAAACGGCCCAAATGATGATATTTTAAACGATTTTTTAAAGCAAAATATAATGCTACATTATTATTTGAGATAGAGGCAGACACGAAATGGTAGTATTGGAAACCCCCTTCAAATAACTCCAATAAAGAGTGTCGTTTTTCTTTATTATCAATAGAGTGCATATAGTGTAAATCTCAAATCCATTATCATCATGAAATGTATACCTAATCATGCCTGACGCTTGACGCGCTATTTCTGTTGCTCTCTGAATCAGCTGCCGGGTAGGGTAATGCTAGTGTCCTTGTGAAATAATCACGCAGTGGGTCGGTGATCGGCATTGAACTTTCAGATAAAGAAAAAAATCTCACTACTGGAGCACTGTCCAGAAAGCAAGTGCAAAATGAATAATATAATGATGCAATCTGAACCACCTGGGTTTTTTTTTTTTTTTTTTTTCCACAGAGTGTAATATCTGGAATGCTGGAAATTGACCCCGAAGCACGCATGTCTGCCTCGCAAGTTTTGGAACATCGATGGGTTTCGGTAAGTGGTCGCCAGTACCTTGCCAGGTTGTTTCAATGTGGGAGCAAGAAAATATATTTTGCTTGAAACATTATTTGGTCTTCCTTTTGAGAAATTCAAATTAATTTTAAATTTACTTTAAAGCAGTGGTTCCCAACCTGTGGTACACGTACCCCTGGGGATACGCAGTGGACCTTTTGGGGGTAGGCACAAATTATATTGATAGTGGGCTTAGTGGCGGAAAACGGGAATAACATGCCATAGAAAATAAAAAACCTATGAATGTCATTATCTTTCTCTGCTTCATTGGATTATGTAGCAAATATATTTTTAATTCCCTTTTATGGAGTGTGGATAATAGAAGGGGTGGGGTACTCATAAATGAAAATTACAATCAATGCGTAAGGGAGAAAAAAGGTTTGGGAACCACTGCTTTTTTTAAAGAGAAAACGGTCACTGTCCTACTCGCCTACTCAACACTAAGTGGGTCGAATTCTTTGCATTGTCATCGAAACTTTTTAAATAAGATTAGAAGTTAATCTTCAAGTCAATGAGACTAGTTTCCAATTATGTTAATGGAAGTAATCTTCAAGTAAATAATTACAGTTTCCAATAAGGTTAATGGAACTAATCTTCAAGTAAATAAGACCAGGTTCCATTTATGTTAATGGAACTGGTCTTCAAGTAAATTATATTTAATGGACATAGACGAGGAGTGAATATAACCCGTTTTAACATAACTCTTTAAAAAAATTTAAAAAATAAAAAACACCGTGGTCAGTTGCGTAGGAAGGGATGGAGGGTGTGGTGTGGTCTGCCCTGTGGGGGCACTTCTTTCTATCGATTTTTTAATTGGAGGGCGGGCATTTTCAGCCAACTGCCGAAATTATGCTTTCGTGGAAGAGGGGCGGCAAAATTCTTGGCCCGCCCCAGGGTGGCACTAACCCTAGCTACTTTTCCACGGACATTGAAATGAGTATTCCCAGCTCCTCTAATTCCCGTGATCTGGCATTTCAGAATGACACACACTATGAAGCTGATTTACGGAAAAAAGTGTCTTCAGGACTTAGCACTTACTTCAGACGAGGGCCCAAGACCACACAGAAATATGCCGGAATAAAGATCATAGCAGTAAGTCAGCAGTATAAAAGAAATGGTGACATTCTAAAGTACCTTCCCTTAGGAAAAAAAAATCGAATCCGGAAATTTGTTTGAAAGAAATTTCGTTGACGGAAAATTGATTGACGGAAGTTTGGTCGAACGGAAATTTGATCGAACTTTATTTTCGGTTCACACGATCAAATTTTCGTCAAATTTCTTTTTGAGCGCACTATACTAATATAGGAAAAGAAAATAATGCGTTCAAAAAGAAATTACCCTGGTAATGGGAAATGGGGAATGAAAGAGATTATGCCTACGTGTGTGTATGATCTGGACAGGTCTCGACAACAGAATTCATAGCAAATATCTTGACCAATACAATAGTAGGAAAATTATTGATATAATTGATCTGGTAGCAAAAGTGCAAGTTATACAATGTAACATGAGTGCATGTTATACAATCTGATATGAGTGCAGGTCATATACAATCTGAGTGCAGGTTATACAATCTAACATGAGTGCAGGTTATACAATCTAACATCAATTCAGGTTGCACAATCTACCATGAGTGCATGTTATACCATCTACCATGAGTGCAGGTTATACATTGTAACATTAGTGCAGGTTATACAATGCATATAAAGGTTACGGAATTTGTTTATTTTTCAATAATTTGAAGGGAAAAAATGTGGTGGTGGAGATTGCAACTAAGGAAACAATAAATTATGTATGTTTATCTGATGATAATAACTTGTTCTACTGATAGTAAACTTAAGTCCTACTCAAGTCTGACATGAATGTAAAACTGAATTATCTCCGAACGCCTTCCCTTTATTTATTTGTTCTCGCTCCAGTCAACCGCCCTAGACAAGGCTTCCAAATTTTTCCAAGGACGCGGAGCACTGCACGACAAGCATCAAGGCAGAGAAGAGTAGATGGAAAAATACGGCCATGTTGCAGGATAGAAAAAGTATATCAGTTGAGGGAATTTGTAATGCTCCGAGCATGCACGCTGCTGCTCAGTAAAGAAACTACCTGAACTGGATTTCAGAGGAAAATATTTTTTCATCAATTTTTTTTTAAAACTCGATTTAAAGCAGAGTATCCCATCCCATTAGTCATGAATTATTTGAGTTGAGCTAAAACATCTTATTAGCTAGGCATGGTGACGCTCAAAATGATTCACGTGGGGAAAATTTTGTCGAAAGTGTTTGACACTAAATTTCCATGACATGACAGTTGGCCTTTTCAATATTTCTTTTTCAAATGAATGCATACAATAAATTGTATTCCTGTTCCAAATAGTTTGCCAATGTTGGAGGTAAAAGCTTTTATTTTCAATAAATGTTATTTTCGTATTTTCAGCAAGGAAATATTTGCCCCCATTTACTTAACCTGGTCAATTTTAACACGACTTCGATTCATTCCGATGACAAAAAAAAAAAAAAGTTTAAAAAAATAAGATATTTCACATAAGAAATGTGTTATTACTTGTTTTACTTTTAAGCATAGGGGAGACAACTTGAGGCATCAATAAAATCAGTTAGTAAAAGCTTTTATTTTCAATAAATGTTATTTTCGTATTTTTCGCAAGGAAATATTTGCCCCCATTTACTTAACCTGGTCAATTTTAACACGATTTCGATTCATTCCGATGAAAAAAAAAAAAAAAAAGTTTAAAAAAATAAGATATTTCACATAAGAAATGTGTTATTACTTGTTTTACTTTTAAGCATAGGGGAGACAACTTGAGGCATCAATAAAATCAGTTCCCACAACTTTAACTTGCGGCTTGTCAACAATGGAAGCGAGTGGAGGGGCTGCGTGGCAGTGAGTGTTATGTCTTATAATTTCACTTTTTTTTAAAAAATGCTTTACATTATAAATCTTGAAGTGTTTCAATAAAAGCCACTAACATGGATTGCATTTCATTTTCTTTGATTTAATAAACTAATTGCTTTTTTAAATATTACGTTTGTTCCACTCATACCTAAAGTGGCAAATTTGTTCACTTTCCATTTAATTAGTTTGAATCAGCTTCAAATCAATAGTTTTTAATAATGTATCACACAGGTAATAGATTATATCACTTATTTGGGAACAATGTCTTTTGTTCACATGACAGAAACTTAATATGAAAACATTGCAAAGCAAGAAATCAATGTTTTAATTTCATATTTATTCATAACAAAGATAATAACAAAAAAAATGTACGTAAATGCTTATAAAAAAATATACATCCCCTTAATCATTCGGAAATGTATGTACAACAAAATGAATCCATTTGAAACATTCTCAGTAAATTTTCCAGAAATTTCATAACAAAGCTCCAATGAGCACTTTACACAACTTACACTACACAACTTACACTACATAGCCTATTAGTTATTGACAGGAGAAAAATAACTATCCTTAGAGAAGCCGAATAACTGATAGAAGAAACAAATTATTGTAGCCAAAATTGAAGTTATAAAAACTACATACTACATGAACATAATTGAAGAAATTAATTACTGCCACCTTAATGACAAACATGGATTTAGCTGCATTCATTAACAGTTAAGTAACCAAGATATTGAATATAATTTTCTCAAAACTTCTTGCAGCTAATTGTAATTGTTTGCCAATTATAAATCTTTGTAAATAAGTTTTAAGAAATTCAAAAAACAGTTATTAAATAATTCTTATATTATTCATTTGATTTTATTATCTAAATATTGAGATAACATCCTATCAATAGTGCAACTTGTAGCTGAGGCCATGACCTAAATATTGAGATAACATCCAATGAAAAGCATAACTTGTAGCTTAGGCCATGACCTAAATATTGAGATAACATCCAATGAATAGCAGAACTCTAGCTGAGGCCATGACCTAAATATTGAGATAACATCCAATGAATAGCAGAACTCTAGCTGAGGCCATGACCTAAATATTGAGATAACATTTAATGAATAGCACAACTCGTAGCTGAGGCAATGTAAGTGTAGGAAAACAAAAATTGAGTAATACAAAACATTAAATTCTGAGTAAATTCAATGGTATTTCAAAAAGCTAAGGTTTTCTCCCTGTAACCTCCAAGAAATGTTTTTGAGACATTAAACAGTGTTAGCAGTTCGTAACTTCTTGTCTGATTCAATCAGTCCTGTCCATGTGTTGAGCTGACGAGCCCTGAGCCTGGCCCAGACCATGTGTTCAGTTAGGGCCAAAATTTGAGCAGCTGCTAAAGCTGCACCTTCTGGTTCAGTGACAGTTGCACAACCAAGTCCTTGAGTGAAATAGCAAAAAAAATTGAATGATAAATTAAGCAAGGTAAAAAACAGAAATTAAAATATCTATTGCATAATTAGCCATTAATAAGTATGAGCATTCCAATAATATTTAGCTACTATTTTAGCTAAAACATTGAAATCAATGAGTCTTGATCAAAAGAAGTCTGAAATTCACTTTTTGATTAAAAAACCTAACAAATCAAAATTATAAAAATTTCCCATGTATCTAAAAATCTAACAAAGTCACCAAAAACTACGATAACCTGAAATTTCTTCGTATTTTTTTGTCAATATGTCAGGGTTCTGTAGTTTTCTCCTTTCAATGCTATTTCTCAGTATTAACCCACCTGATGGCATCCTTAGACTTGACCAGACATCCTGAGCTCCCCAATCTGGTGTCAGTGGTGGACAATTGATGACTGGCAAGACCGTGTTACCAGCCAAAACTGGACCAAGTCCATTGCTGCGTCCAGCTATGGCAATTAGCACAGTTGGAATACCATCTCCTGGAATTTAAGACAAATAGGTCAATGGATTGTAATTAACTGATTAAAATCGTGACATTTTTCAGAAATTAAGCAATTTAAATATAGCTGTACATACAAGTCTTACCAACTGGAATATGTTGCTTTCAATATCCCTTTCCTAATGCCTGTACTAACAACTTCAAACAGCTATTCAAATATATATGTGAAAGTTTAAATAAACCAACATCTTTTTATACATGTAACGGTCGTTTTCCTTTATTTTTTAGAATAAACAACGGTTTTTATCAGCAATCTCAAAAAGTATTTGGGGACAAAAATAGTGTATCTTCATAAACACTTCAAATTGTAATAATCTGACCAACCTTCATATTCTGCTAACAACCTCATGGTCTGGTCAGTTTGTTTATGGGCTGAAGTGACACGCAGTTCACAAGCAATGTCTAGAGATTTGCAAATGGAAACAATTTTATCTCCCTGCTGACTATCACTGCTTGAACCCATGAATACAACCACGCGACCACGGGGTTTGATATTAAGAAGCTGTAAAAGAGTATCAAGCACAGATGAAATAAGTTTATTATAGGTCAATTTCTATTAGCAATTATAGTTATTTTCAGTGTTCAAGTTTACTACCCATGGTTCTAATTAACACCACAAAAAGTCATCTCTAGACTTTAATTTTATTAATGAATTAAAATTGTAAGCAATTGAAAATAAAAACATGTTAAAAAGAAAACAGTAATTTATTTATAGCAAGGTATTTGGTACAATAAAAAGGAAAGGGACAAATTTCAATTATTGTTAAGAAAAGTTAAGGATACTTTTCTAAATACAAGCTATAGAAAAGCATTTGAAAAAAAGAAAACTATGTAACCGACCTGTACTTTCTCTGCAACCCATTCAAAATTACGCTTGACAGTGTCTAGTGCTTCTGATGTTACTTCCTGCAAGTTTCTATACACCTGTTTGTCTTTCATCAAACGTTTGTCACCTGAAGGCCATAAGCGCCATGAATCACTGTCAATAATGTCAGCCAGTACTAGCTCCTCTGGAAATGTCATTTACCAATGGATCATTTATTGAAATGTCAAGTTACTATTCTTTTGAACATAATATACAGACATTAAGAAAAATTACATAATCCTCAAACATAATCTTCAACAAATGCAGTTGGACAGGTGAAAGTGGCCAAAACTGATTGATTCAACATATATTCCATTCGAAGATTAATTTAATAAAATATTGGATGTAAAAATCATACATTGGAAAAGTTATTTCCCAGATAAAGTTAAAAGCTCGTGATGGAAGCTATGGAGAGTACCTGTTTGGTCAACAATACCAAATTCAATCTTCATATCAATCAAGCTGCAGTTCTGAGATGACCATGCTCTCTCAAGAATCTCAAAAATGGTTACAGTCATCTTCTCCATAATATTTAACTCGTCAGGTCCAATGGTGACCCCGCCAAATGTCATTTTTGCAGCCACACACTGCTCGTATGTCCACTGAGGGTCATGATTAGCATCATCCTAAAAATCATAAATATTAGGGACCAAAAGATATTTTGTCACTCCAATTTTGAGTTTTTAAACCTTTCAGCATCAATATCATCCTAAACATGTCTCTAAATTAAGATTACACATGTCTTGGGATTTAAAAATGTCCATATTTTTTTTAAATCTAAAAAATCCTAGAGTATTTTTAAAAAATTACACTTACAACTTAAACTGAACATTTTCAAAAGTAAACTAAATTTAGACATTCATAAATGAAATTGAAACTTATAAAATGTGTGATTTTGTTATCCAACTGTAATAAAATAAAACAAACCTTATAGAAAGTCTCCAGTTTTGGTGGATTAAATCTATATCCTTCTTCGACTCCTGGATTTCGTTTCAAAAAGGAACCAGTAGCAATTCTGCGTGTAACCCATTCAAGTGGAATCATATGACATTTGAGGGCTATAAAAGATCTCTCGCCATGTTGCTTTATGAAGTGAGTCCTTATACCTGAATGGAAGATATAGAAAGAACTGATTTCAGTTAAAACTTCAAATTACTTACAAGAGCGTAAAACAGAATTTCAATAAATGCACCTAATCAGTAGGGCCCAGAAGTACTATATATATAATTATACAATACATTTATTTATATAAACAGCAACAAATCTAATAATTGCCCAGTCAACTCAATATATTGTACTTAAAACGTATGGTCAACTATCTAATCATAAGATTGTATATACCAAGATGATACAATCTCTCAGTCAGACAGAAGAAGAAAGAACAAACATTCATAGGCTTAATTTTAATAGAACAACCTCAATGCCTGACCATAACACACTTAAAAGCCAAGTCTAATGCTTATTTCACACACACTGACACACTTGAAAGCCAAGCCTAATGCTCATTTCACACACACCAACACACAAAAAAGCTAAGCCTAATGCTCATTTCACACACACTAACACACAAAAAAGCCAAGCCTAATGCTCATTTCACACACACTGACACACTTAAAAGCCAAGCCTAATGCTCATTTCACACACACTGACACACTTAAAAGCCAAGCCTAATGCCCATTTAACACACACTAACCCTAACACACAAAAAAGCTAAGCCTAATGCTCATTTCACAAAGTGTGCTCAGTTATTCTCAGCAGAGCCAATTCTCTAGATAATTACCAGCATCCTTCAACAGCTTAAAGACTGTAGCAGCTGTTGAGTTAGAGATCTTGGCCTTTCCTTCCATGTCGTGAGCCCTTGCTCCATCTCCAGCAGTAATGCGGTCTTTCGATTCCACAAGTACTTGCCCTGGATGGTCCTCCAAATCATAAATGATCTTAGTTTTCCCTTCAATTACTTTGGTACCTAGTTTCAAATCTGAAAAAAATGTATCACATTCATTACTTTATTAAGGTACCAGTATTTTAAAAGACCAGAGATGATTACAATGAGTTACAATGCATAACTGTGATGCCTGTTAGTGTTAGTATTACTTAATTACTATTAATTCTATTGTTGAAGTTAATAATTAGACTTGACACTTTTTTTGTGTGGAGAATATGACAAATTCATCTTCTGTAGCATGGGCGCCCGCAGGGGGTGGTTTCCCCCCCCCCTCCCCCTAGATTGATTGGATAAAAATTTTTTAGACAAAAATAGACAAAAAATGTATTAAAGTAAAGAGAAAATAAAGAGAAAGTAACTAAGCTGATGTCCTGTCTGTTCGTTCACCATACAAATACGCTACAGTAAATTAAAACTACATTAAAACATTACTAAAAAAATTTTTGCCCCACCCCACTCGAAAGTTAATCAATTTTTTTTGCCCCCCCCCCCTGGAAAGTTTTCTGCAGGCACCCATGCCCAGCTGAGTGTATTAGCAGAGGTCTACAGAGCTATATTTAAAATATTTGCTTTTAGATTTTATTGTTGCTAGATTTAATTATATAATCCTAGATTTTAATTATATAATCCTAGATATAATTATCTAAATCATCAATTTAATTATATAATCCTAGATTTAATCCTACCACTGCAACAATACAAAAAATCTTATATATACTTATAATTCAAATATTGTGAATTATTCTTTGGCAGCTGAATCTAACTCCAGCAAATAAAACTCAATAATTTAACCTGGTTTCATTCTATAATAGTTCAAGCTGGTTTAATCATGCACTGCAAATTAAGTGTCAACTACTTAGTCTTCTTGGATTGTTTATATTCCTCAAGTTCTTTGAATGTGTCGTACTATTCCAACTATCACTGAACAAACTCAACTCCTTTTCATAATAATTATAAATTTAATGTCTAAGTAAATATTATACACATAACACGTGAATATAGCGCAGCTCGCTATCAGACATGAATAATATACATCCTACCACTCCAAAGTTCCACTCAAGACTGCCCGCATGACTAAAACATATGTCGAAATACTGTATAGACAATACGTCACGAATCAGCATAAAAATATGTCATCGAGACAATGTCGGGAAGAGCGTTCACTAACTATAAGAGTCAAGTGCGGGAAAAGCGTTAAAAAACTAATGAACATAATATTCAGTCGCAACAATTACTAACTCCCATGCTCGACATTAAGCACAGTCACTTACAATATAATTTTTCTAATAAAATTGTTTACATATTAAAAAACAATATTTCCAGCGGTAGGATTATATAATCTCAATGTCATCTAGTTCATCGAGTAAACATTCTATTTCAAACATGATACTTATAGATGAGCTCAATCAGGGCGATTTCTTTCCCTCAAAGTTGACACTGAAAGTTATACAAATTATTTTGTTCCCCAGTCTGTTAGAATTTATCAGGGTGCTCATCTGGCTTTAAAAAAAAATCTAACAATCCCAAGTTAATATTGTCACTAAAAGAGTGAAGTCCTATGGTATAAGATGGTTGAATTTTGTGCTTGAGACATAAATTAGATGTGTTTATATTGTACTAGTTTACAAATTTTGTTTTAGAAAGACTCTTTGCTGGATATGTGCTAAACATGAATGTGTAAAATCTGATCAAAACATGTTTCCATTTATTTGGATAAATAAAAGAATCTTATCTTATCTTATAGTCTTGAAATGTAGCATAAACAGATGCATCAAGGGTACTATTAAGTTCATGAGCAGAGCTATCTAAATGGGACCCTGGTGGTAAACTCGTTTAAATGGAGTGTCACTCATTGAAGTATTGAAGAATGTTTTCCCTTATCACAAATTAATTCATGACATACAAGCCTTAGGTAAAAGAATTGAGTGTGTTCTGGAGAGCAGAGTCCAGGACTGTCAGATTACTTAACTAACAGTGCAAGGATCTGTAAAAGAAATGTTTCTTTGAGCTGGTAGAAGAAAACAGAAACTGAAAATACATCATTCAGTAAGTCACTTAAAGCATTGTTCACCTGCTAGCATTGCCAAACAAACACACAAGTATAGTTTTACACTGGCCATCTATTTTAAAGTGGATTCAGACAAAACGACTGATCAGATTTTCATCAGATGCCTATTAGAGAAATGTTACGAATATGATATCCCAGTACATCAACTCTATGTGGAGTATAAAATGGCCTATGACCGTATCAAAAGAAAATATCTATATGAGACTTTGCAGGAGTTTTGAATACCTAACAAACTGACAAGACTGATACATGTAACATTAAACAACTCAAAAAGCAAAACCAAGGTTCAGGTTGAAAATTCAAGGAAATTGCAGATTAGATGAGGACAAAGACAAGGAGACTCACTGTCTTGTATGCTATTTAATTTAAAATTAAAGAGAGTTAAAACAAACATACATATTGACACCCGGGAACAATAGCAGGATACTTTCTGAGGGAGACCCAAGACTACAAACAATAGGCACTCTACAATCAACACCTTCAGTATCTCGCATATGCTGATGACATAGCACTTTTAGGGAAAAGTAATAAAGACATATCAAAAACCTTTATTGAATTAGAAGATGCATCACTACAAGCAGGACTGGAAGTTAACAAATATAAAACAAAATACATGACAATGATAAGAGAAAATCAGACTGATGAAACAATTAAAATTAGAAACCACACTTTTGAAAAAATAAATCAATTCAAATACCTAGGATCTTTATTATAAGAAAGAAATGAATTACAAAAATAAATAAAAGAAAGAATACTGGCTGGATACAGGGCATACTTCAGTAGTCAGATAATTCTCAAAAAAAACATTACAAGAAAAACAAAGAAAACCATTATAAAACTGTAATCAGACCAGTGGTAACATACACAAGTGAAACGTAAACCCTAACAAAAATGGCAGAAGATCTATTAAACACATGGGAGAGAAAAGTTCTCCGAAAGTAAATGAACCAACAAAGGATGAATATGGATTGAGAATACAAACCAACCAGGAATTGTATAGTCTATATCAGAATCCCACGCTAGCAGCAGAAATAAAAATGGGCAGGCTACGCAGGGCGGGACAATTAGAAAGAATGCCTAATGGCAGAGGATTGAAGAGGGTGCACCGCTAAAACCCCACAGGGAAAAGGCTCAAAGACAGACCTGGGACTTAGATGGATGGATGATGTGGAGAAAGATCTACAGCAACTGGGAATCCAAGCATGACAAATGCATTACTTAGGTCTGAGTGGAAGGAAATGATAAGGCAGGCCAAAGTCCTACATAGGCTGTAGCGCCACAGGGATGGATGGTTGTTTGTGTTCAATTAGAAACTAATTAGCATGTGCCAGGATGAAGGCAAATCAAACAACTACATACCATCCTAAGGAGCTTTGCCAGCATTGAACTGTTCCCAGCCATTATTAGAAAGGGGCCCATCAACCATGTCCCTAATCCAAGTTAAAGGGTATTTGTAGCAGAAAGACCAGAGATTTCATTTGTATAGAGAACTCTGGCAAAGTTTTGTTTATCTTAAGTGTCAAATGTCAGATATTCAAGATAGCAACATATAAAATTTGCCCAAAGAAATAAAGTCTCCATTTTAAAAAATGAAATTTTTGTATCAATGACTTGAGCTTTTCCTATGACTACCATATTTCTCAATGTACTTAAAGCAATAGTTTGCTAATAAATAACATGTTCCTTATACCGGGTACTTATATCCGCAGAGCCTAACGATTTATCATTTTTCATTCAAAAGTTTATAATATAATTACCATTTATAACTGCACTGTTAAAAAATTCTGACTTACGTATGTGGTGATCTGACTTATGACTTATTAGAGAGGAGTGTCTCTCGTATGAGATCTCCTCTTGGCACTCTGTCTAGGGATATGTTATTTAAGCCGAATAACCACACGGACATAACACCTATCTATATACATATAGTATAGACTGAAACGAAGTCTTAGTTAAAGGTGAAATTAACTACAAATATTTATTACACAATAATATTTATAACTTCCTACGTGAAACACTTGTGGTGCTCAATGTATATACATCAAACGGATTTCATCCAATTAGAAAGGTATATTAACACAAAGCAAGTGTCCCTAACATACAGACGGTATCATCATTACTACTGCTATATTGCTCAAGTTCTATGCTCGTTCTTGGTAAACTTAGCCTTTATAGATTCTGTGATGGTCTCGGTGGATCACACAGTGTGGGAGTCCTTCTGTTCAAGAAGCAGTGTCCCTGTTCCGGCCTTCGGTGCTGTTCTGAGCGTAGCGAAGTCGGAGTTCCCGGTCGTAGAGTCCTTGGGATGTCTGCGAGGGGAAGATGACTCTCCCGCGATAAATCGTGGTGGTGAGAGTCCCTGGATCTCGAAGTCCTAGCTGTCAGGTAGTTTGGTGTAGGATGTACCGCGATAAATCGTGGTGGTGAGAGTCCCTGGATCTCGAAGTCCTAGCTGTCAGGTAGTTTGGTGTAGGATGTAGATCATCCCCTAGTTCCAGCTCGAGGTAAGTCGGTCCAGTAGTAGAAACCAGGTAGTACTCTAGGTAGCAGTTGAAGTTAAGTATCACGCCAGTGAAGTGCTAAGTCTAGTCACTTCAAGCGTCCACAATCAAGTGATCAGATCTTAAAGTCATATACTTGCTAATATCCTAGGATGCAGTTATGTATCATGCTGACGAAGTTCTTAGTGCAGATCCTTCCAGCATTCACCGTCAAGTGATCAGATCATAAAAGGCAGAATCTTGCTTGTTCAGGCTATTTATTCGAGTTCGATGACGATTAGCTGATGGTTCAATTGGGTGATTCACATGAGGGGTCAATTTTCCATCCAATGAAAATCACTTTCACTGTTGCGGGTTTGACCTTCAACCCTCAAGGTTAATCGGACTGAGGTGACCATCCTTTTTCAGGCTTTGGCGTGAGTTCTCTGTCTAGACAATGCATTTCCAGCAAGGGACGATACTCCGCCT